TTAATTGCATTCTTGCATGTGTTGCATTAGCTATCTTAACATGAACTAGGATCATGCATGATTTCTAACTAGTTCTCTGTTTTGGCTCGGAGTACACTGTGAGTGTTTACGCTTTAGCATATTGCATGTGTGTTAATACTGCCATGAAAGCATGCTTGCCATGAGGCTAATTGCTTATTTGCTATAACTGCCTAAATGCCTTTGGGTGAAGGTTGGATTACTTGGATTGGAACAATTTATTGAAATCCCGGATTTAGCCTACTTGCGAGTAGCAAACTTCAAACCATTTTCAAACGAATATGCAATGTTTTGTTCCAAATTAGGCGATCTAGTCTATACTTGTTTGCTGTGCGCATCACGTAGTAAGATTAGCTAATTAACCGGAATAAGAGCACATGTGTTTTCAAAAACATAATATCATGTTTAGTACAGGCCGATCTTTGATCGGGCGAGCGGGGGTGCTCATTGCATGACATTCCCTTCTCGTACCCAAGTTCCCGAGCTGAGACAACTTTGGTGATGACGACACGTGGCCTTCGGCACGAGTCAGGGTTTTCTAAATTCCCCCAAAATAAAATATTTAGGTGGTGACTCTGTATCTAACAAAGCAGTCCATGTTTGACACTTCTTTATTAAAAATCAGTTTTCCAAAACGATTTGTCGGATTTGGACTCTTTGGTGATTTATCGGCCTTACATCGCACATTGTAAGATTAGATTCAGAACCGTGACATTTGAGTCCGAATAGTAGTAGCTCAAAGAACAAGACGAGATTCGCCTCCGCGCCTCGTTGGCACGCGCGCAGATGTCGGGGAGCTCTCGGGAGCGCGTCTACACTAACGTTCAATTTGAACACATATAATGTAACACAAAGGAATGCTTATCTTGCCTCTTTTACTTATCAAATTTGTTTACACATTTTAGTTACCAACCATCCTTTAATCACATTAAGTCCAAATGGTGAATTAAGTCCTCTAAGTGGAAAGAAAGCTCTAACCAAAGGTTGTTTTAGGCATGAAAGAAACCTCATGTCGTTGGTAATGAACCCCCAAAGGGATTAAACTATTAAGCACAAAACCTCAATTTCATGTTTTAAACAATCAAATGGTTTGAACCATTTTCAAAGCAAAAATATATATATATATAAATCCAAGAAAGGAGGAAGGTTGCAGAGATGATTAAGTGCTGAAAATGAGTGATAAAAGCATAAGCCAATGCTATCAACTCAAACAAGAAGGTGTCTAGAGCCTAAATCACCAAGCTTGTGAGGACTATTGCACTACAACCATGCAAAACAAGACTCAACTGACCCAAATAGCCCAAAACAGAGTTAAAGTAGGCTATTTCAGAGGCAAAAACATGCTAGAATTAAGCTAAGCTAAGCTAGAAAAACATGCTAACATATGAAGTTAACTATACTAGCAAACAAGACACAAGGAGGGGAGGCTAACCCCTCCAATTTTGGACATCAAAATGAGTTTCTTGCCACTGAAAAATCTCTGAAATTCAGTGATTAAAGGGCCAAAAAAAGGTAGTTTAAAATGGGAAACAAAAGTGCAAAGGCCTTAACAATAAGGGATAAAGAGGGATGAACCACCCCCTAACCTTTAATGGCCCAAAACACCAATTTCAACCCATGAAAACCAAGTTTTTTTATATACTCAAAATAGCCCATAATAGTAGGGAAAAGATGGAAAAACAAATAAGGAAAGCAAGCTTAAAAGGCTAGTATTATACCTCTTGAAGAGAAGAGTGGTTCTAAGCAACAATTCAAGCCAAAAACAACTTGTAGAGCTCCAAGAGGGCCTCAAACAGCCTCAGCTCAAAGAAGATCACTTTTGGTTAAGGGTTGATATGCAAAAAAGTAGTCTAAGTAGGCAAAGGTGTAGAGAATACAAAAGAGAGAGAGAGAGAGAGAGAGAGAAAAAAAAAAATTGCGTCTTAATTCTTCCAACCTTAAAACATGAGAGAGGGTCTCCCTATCTATACAAAAATGATTTTTAAACAAAGAGATCCAGCCCTCTATGTGTGGGCAGATGTGTAGACTCGACTTTCTTCGCGCCCCCTTTCAGAGAGCTCGAATTGGTCTTACAGTTTGGACTCCTGTCACGGTTCTCTCACAAAGTGTAATGTGAAACTGATAAACACCAAAGAGTCCAATCCGGCAAATCATTTTGGAAAGTCGATTTTAAATCAAATAATGCCAAAATTGGACTACTTTGCCAGATTACAGAGTCGCCACCTAAATATTTTGTTTTGGGGAAATTTAGGAAACCCTGACTCATGCCAAAGGCCACGTGTCCGTCATCACCAAAGTTGCCTCGGCTCGGGAACTTGGGTACGAGAGGGGAAGGTCCTGAAATGAGCACCCCCGCTTGCCCGATCAAAAATCGGCCTCTACTATCATGATATGTTGTTTTATAAACTGCATGTGTTCTTATTTTGGTTATTAGCTAACTTTACTATGTGACGCATACAAGCAATTATAGACTAAATCGCAAGAATTGGAACAAATCAACTCGTGTTTGCTTTCGAAAATGGTTTGAAATTGCCACCCTCAAGTGGGCTTAGAAACTGCGGATTTGCCACCCTCAAGTGGGCTTAAAACATGATTATTTGCCACTTCGCAAAGTGGGGTTAAAACTCACAATCATCGAATTGTTCCAATTCAAGCAACCAAGCCTCCATCCACAGGCATTCATGCAGCTTAGTATATAAGCACATAGCCTCATGGAAAGCATGTGAAACATGGCAATATGGCAATTACACTGATGCAAGCATGCTAAAGCGTAAAAGCTTATCGAGTACTCCAAGCCAAAACAAAAACTAGTTAGAAACAATGCATGATCCTAACTATGTTAAGATGCCTAATGCAACATATGCAATAATGTAACTAAATAGGCTCGGCTATTTAATCATGGTATTTGCAACAATTTGATAACATGCTTTGAAACACGTATTCAAATAAGTATTGAAATTGCGTTGCAGTTTGAATGATGCGCCGAGCCTCGGTGCATGCAAGACAAATGAATGATGCAAACATGCAAGCACAACGCATGCTAAGCGAAAATGTCCCTAACTAACCATTGTAAGCGGATAAATAAAAGGGAGAAAGACGTGAGGTTGAAAGACATGCACACACACACGCACACTTATTACAATATTGTGCCCTCACGAAGGAGGGTCCGAATGAATAAGCTAAGCTACACTAAGCTAAGCTAATCTAACTAATCTAATTAAACTAATTAGACTAATTATTACAAACCAATCAAATAACTAGTAAACTACTTACTAATTATTACAACACTTAATTAGCAAACTAATTAATCAAATTACAAAACCATGCTAACTAAACATGCAAAGTGCTAAACTACACTGCCTCAGCTCTGGTTTGGAAAGTAGAAGATGCATACACTCGGCTTCAGCCCCGAAAAGCCTTCTGATTTACTCTTGAGAGGCTCTATTTGCAGGGTTAAACTTGCTCCAAGAACTTTCTGCTCCACCTTACCAATTCAATGTTAAGGACTACACCAGTGGCCTGCCGGCCATTAATGCTTGCTGCCGGCCATCTGCCGGCCAAAAGTGTACTATGCCGGCCAAGGATGAAGCCACTGCCAGCCATCAGTGAGCCACTACCGGCCACTGGTGTATTGAATCACCACGTTACAACAGAGCACAAACAGAGAAAAATAGAGGGTTTTCCAAGGATATGTTTGTACTGTGCCCCTCCTTATCATCTCAAAACATCAAAGGAGTGGCATTCTTGGATCCAAAACCACTAACCGAGCATCTTCGATGCATGATGGCCAAAGATCCAAGGAGTACAATTTCAATAAATGCACAAAACAAGACTCGAGGCCATCACCTTATCATGAATGATCAAAGGCAATGGGGACAAAGGAGATTGGCTCATTTAATCACTTTGAGTATGAAATGCTCCAATCTACCTTGTGTTCAATATAACATTCGATTGAACACATGCAATGCAAACACAACATGCTGATCTTGGTCATGTTTTACTTGTTTGATTTTGTTTACTCATTTTAGCATTACCAAGTCATTCTTTAACCGGTTAAGTCCAAGGTGAGTGTTCTCTAATGAGAGAGGGGTCAACCAAAGGATGGTTTAAGACAAGAGAGAGATCATGCCTTCGGTTAAGAGGAACCCTCAAAAGAGGGTTAAAACCATTGAGCACAGGCTCTATCTCAAGCTTAAACACAACCTTAAGGTTAACCAACCCCGAAAGCAAATTAAAAAGTGAAGAAATGAGGGAGGTTGCAGATATTTCAGTGCTGAAATGGCATGAAAAATTATATTACAACATGTAAGCAACTCATGCACAACATGTTCAAAAGCGAAAAACACTAAACTAGTGAAGAGCACTACACTAGAGGCATGCAATACAAAGCCCCAAAGGCACAAACACCTTAAAAAAGTCCTAAAATAGTTTAAAAGGAGTTCTAAAACATGCTTGAAGTAAGCTAAAAAAGGCTAGAATGAAAGTCTAACACATAGCACAAACTAGACTATTAAGCACAATTGCACTAAAAGCATACAAAGCAAGCCTCAAGTGGCCAAACCAGCTCAAATTAGAGCTAAAGCAAGTCAAAAAAGTAGCAAAAACATGCTGAGATCAAGTCACAAAATGGTAAAAAAAATGCTCACATGTTAGGCTATCTACACTTGCAAACAAAACACAAGGAAGGGAGGCCACCCCCTCCTATTTTGGACCTCAAAACAAGATTTGTACCACTAAAAATCCCCTAAAATTCAGTGGTTAAAAGGCCAAAAAAAGTTGTTTTAAAAACTTTGAAAGATGGCAAAACATTTTAGCAAGCAAGCTACAAGAAGGGTGGACCACCCCTAACTCCAAAACAAACCTCAAACCACCATTTTAAATCATAAAAATAGGGATTTCAGAGGTCAAAAATCAGCCTCAAAATTGCAAGCAAAGATGGCCAAACAAGTATTTAAATTAAGCTAAAAATACAAGTATTCTACCTCTTTGAAGACAAGATGCTATTTAGGCAACAAAGGCAAGGCAAACCAAGCTAATATCCTCTTCTAGAGCCCAAATAGGACCTCAAGCAACCTCAACACCAAGAAGATCAAGTTTGATCAAGGGTTTCTATGTAAAAGTGTAGAGAATTTAGGCTTTAAGGCAATATATTTAAGAGAGAGGATTCTAGAGAGAGAGAGAGAGAGAGAGAGAGAGAGAGAAATTTTTGTCTTCAAAATTTCCAACCCCTTGCATGCAAAAGGAAGACGTCTATATATAGAAGATACAAAATCCTCTCAAAGTGATCCAACCATCCATGTGCAAGCAGATGCTCCAATCTGTGCAAACAGCTGGCACAAAATATCAGAAAATATCTACTGATGCACTGGTGGCCAGCCGACCATCCTAATTGATGACCGGCAGGGCACTTCAATGGCCGGCAAGCCAAAATCCATGGCCGACAGTGCCTTATCATGGCCAGCAATGCATCAAGAATAACATGCTGGAAGAACCAAAACATGGTCCAAAAATGATATAGAATTGATGCAGGGTTTGGAAAGCTCAAACCTGTGGCGTTCTGCCACGGAATACGAGCGCTCAATGAACAATCAAACTTGTCACTAGATGTACCTGCAAGAACATCCAAGTCTTGAAGACGGTCAAAAATGGGGTGTCTACAAGATGCAAGCCTCTATGCAACCAGCTGGCACAAAATATCTGCAGAAAACTCTAGTGGCCGGCAAGGCATCGTTGATGGCCGGCAAGTCAGAAGCCCTGGCCGGTAGCCCTCATAGATGGCCGGCAGGCCACCAAAGATTGCAAGAGGGAGAGACCACGACGTGGTCCAAAAAGGAGACAAAATGGATGCAGGGTTTAGAAGGCTCAAACCTGTGGCGTTCCGCGGAGGACTTCGAGCGCTTGGTGAGCAACCAGACTCATTATCGGAGGTACTCACGCATCTACTTCAAAGTTGATAAGAAATTCACTCAAACATTTAGTTTATTATAAGAAGACTTAAAATGCCACGGCAAACAGATTTTACTAAAGTAAAATTTAAAAGGAATATTAAAGGACTAATTACTAGTTGAATGGTGAACTAGCATGGATCACACATCTAAACAGGAAAAATAATTACTCAATATGATAAAGCAAGAATTCAATAAATCAAAATTCAGAAAGGTAATCCTAAAGCCAACCATTAAGAGTGTTTACCTTAAAAGCATTGGGGATTGTGTTAGTCATTTTATCCAGAACAAAACCTCTTGCTATTGTTCCCAATATTCCGGAGACGATTGTGATCCCTTCAAAAACCAAATCTAGGCCATTCTGCCAAAAGACCCAAGTTAAGTGTTTTTACACCTACTGTTATTTTATTTGAAATTATCTTTTAACATGCAATAAGCACAAAAGAAAGATGAGTCAGTTGTCATATAGAGTGATATAAAACTATTCTTATTACAAAAAATAAAATAAAAATCTTTGAAATTTACCATGTGATATATATTATATTAGTTCTGACAGATAAGGCTTCTCATTATTAAATATATGAATTGTAGGATCACTATGCTACACTTTTGGAAAATATAGATATGCTTAATGAAGCTCATATGTCCTGTCTATTTCTGGGGAAAAAGGCATTCTCAAAGATTAATAAGCCAAGGTTTTAGAAACGTGTGGCATTTAACCAACAGAGAAAATAGTATATTACCTTCAGTGTCAAAACTATCATAACATCCTTTGCTGCTTTAGACTTGGCAGCTTTCTCCTTTGCCATAGACCAACTTTCTTTGATTCTTCTTCATGAATATTTTCGCTTCTTGTTTGACATAGCTTTTCAAGACTCACAGCCTATTAAGAATGTATGAAGATCAATAGAGAAAAGAAGTGCATTGTAAAATCTTTCTCAGTTGGACACTCATGACAGGGAACGTACAGAAAATAGTTTTTATTCTTTGATGTAATACAAGATGAAGCAAAGGCTTTTAAATTTTCTAATGTAATAAAATCTACACATCAAAAGGAATTAAGGAAATGCCAAGTATCAACTCACTCACTGACCAAACTAAAATGATAGTTATGGCTATTTGAAGCGATAGGTAACTATCACCACCACTTCATTTCTTTGGACATAAAACATTTTCGAGAAAAAAGTTTTTTGCATTTAACATTTGGTGTGAGCACGATAGAAAATGGAAAACAAAAATCAACAGAAAACGTTTCAAGCTTATTTAGGCGGACAATTTTTCCATGAAAATCCTTTAAACCATTGTCGCTTTAAACCATGGGAAAATGAGGTTTCACTTTTAATAATAGTATATATATATATATATAATTAAAAAACACCCACAAGAAAACAATATAAAAGTATAGTAAGAACCAACCATTCTTAGTGGCATTTTATCAAGCACCTAGGAGGCATAAATAACATATGCACAGTTTTCTTCTCTGCTGGAGACATCCCAAAATAGAGATACATAGAGATACCTAAGCAAACACAGATACACAAACATACCCAAATTGAGAATATAAAATTTCTACTGAAATTCTTCAATTGCAAAACAGGTGTTTAATGTCAAATCTATACATAATAGAATTACTTTAAGTATATTAAAAGCATCATCACCAAACTTAAAATCCAAAAATAAATAAATAAATAAATCATGACTTCAAGGTGAATTCAACCACTCAAAGCAGCCAAAATTGATATATTTCTAGTTTATAGAAATATCAAACACAGTGAACAAATATTTATGTTCAGTAAGAACCACAGATCAAATATATTCTGAAGCGACTTCTTGATGAAATCGTAAAAAGCATTTATATCAGTAAGTGGATCAGACCCTTTTTTTGCAGTATATTCAATCATACCTTTCAAAATCACAACCTCATCCTCTTCACTCCATAGCCTCTGAAACAATTGCTTCTTCGTATCATCACCAGTCTTCTTCTCCGACTCCTCATGAATAACCACATCAGAATCCACTGCTTTCTTCTTCGCCCTTTTTGATTCCTAGTTGTTGTTGTTCTTGCTCGTCGCAGTCCTTTTTGCTGCAGATTTTGCCAAACCAGGCTTGGATCTAGGTTTCTTAGTAGCTTGGGAGGATTGTCTTCCATGGGTTTCGAAGCAAGAGGCTTGATGCGAGGATTGGTAGAAGGGGAGTCTGATTCAGAGCCTGAATCGTATTCAGATGAAGATTGGGGATTTAGTGTTAAGGTCTGAGCGATCACTAGTTTCTTCAGAGACAAAAAAGGTTTTTCGGATGAAGTCTTCTTGAGTTGGTTTTATTCAGATTCAGAGTCGTCGTACCGTCAATCACCGCCGAAGAGAGATTGAATCCCTTCGAACTAATTCTCTTAGGATTAGAATCTATTAGAAGTCAAATAGTTGATGTATATGTTCTTTTCTTAATATTTTTATTTTTATTTTGGTGAATTGGCGCCATAAATTTCATTTTGGCGCTTTTTTTTTTGTCATACCATTCACAACATAAATTATGCGTCGCAAAAAGTACAATATTTTTAACGGCAGGCGTTGTGTGTGCTGTGAAAAGTGCAGTACTTTTCACAGCTGGCATATGTGTGTCGTGTATAGTTGATGGATTAACAACATGCCATGTGCATGTCATAGAAAGTTTTATTATTTACGACAAACATTGCAAGCTGTAAAAAAATCATCATTACTACCATTAACAGCCTACACAATAGACACGCCGTGGTTAGAAAATTATTCATGACGTGCAAAAAAAACAAGTCATAAAAGTGAGAAATAACGTCGTGCATTTATTGTATGTCATTGATGTGATGCCGTAAAAACCCAATTTTGTTGTAGTGAACCATCATTAACTCAACTGTCTTATTCATTTATATTTGACCAGGCCATCTTTCTCCATTATCAATTAGCTCGATTGTGTAATCATTATATTTGTAGAAGGGTCAGTATGGCGGATGCAGTTGTGGGCAGTTATTGATCTTCTAATTCGGGGTTGTACATCTTGAGGATGGGTTTTGAGTGTGCCAGGTAATGACCATTTCCAGAAACAATTTTGAAAAGTTTTAATAAAAGTTGATTGTGTTCAGCATTTTACCCTTGTAAAACTTGGACCATTTTGGGACCAAAAGGAAAATTTTTAGTACTGCAACTTTAATTTTATTGATTTAACACAAGTACATTCTCTAACTCTCTAATTTAAATCAAAGTTACTTTTACATCACAAAACTTGAAAAGAAAGATCAAAGCAGTAAAACTAGGGGCACAACTAAGTCATGTAGCTCTATGTCTTCTGCTTGCACCCGTGGAAGTTTCTGTAGCTAAAGATGGCCCAACTTGTTCTTCGACCTCAAGCCAAGCTAAACCCTTTCCAGAAAGGGCATAACTGAAGCTAGGGGTAGGGGCTAGAAGCTCCCTCGTCCTCCAACAAGTGAGGTATCGAGGCAAGTGTGAACCATGGATGGGAAATGAAGCCGGGTATTCCACTTCCTCATCTGGACATGTCTAACCATGTTCAAACTAGCGTTTAAACCGAAAGGGGAAATAGAACATGTAGTGTGTGAGGCCAATCAACTGCATACCCAGTTGATGGGACATGCTGTAGCTCATCTCAACCAAAGTATGCTAGGGACAACGCCAAGTTATGTCAGTTGCAGATCTGCTGCACATCCAATTACACCACAACCCTTCTGAAGGGAAATCCACTAGCCATTGGCGAAAGAAGTAAGCTCTGGCCGAGTACTCAGGGCAAGGGTCCACTACTTGTAGTTTATCCATAAGCCATACCTAGTGAGGGATGAAAAATAAGAAAGATTAAAGAATAGAGAGGTGTACGATGAGGGAAAAGTAAGGAAGAGGTTTTGAGAGAAAAACAGAGATTGAGTGTCGAGTGATGTGAGGAATCATAAATCAAAAGGGTGGGCAACAATACCTGAAGAAGTAGTGGACTCTCGGCAAAGCGGGTAGTCTCTCACCGATGGAAGGCGTCCAAACCCATCAAGGTTTCAACCAAGGCCAGGCCCATGCAACTCTTACCCTCTTTCAAACATTGGGCCACTTTGATCAACCAGATGTTGGCTCCGCCGAAACTAAGGGCAAGGAGGAATTGCGCAAGCAAACATAAACAGAGAACATTTTGCCAATAACCTCGCCAGAGAAGGTCGTCCCTATTTCTAATAGCAGAAAATCAATGAACTAAGCCAGGGATGTCTAGCTCCCCATTATGGGCCAAGGACCAAGCCTCATGTGTTGAAAACCCACACATCCGTCCCAAAGCCTGGGCATGGCCAAAATGAGGCTAAGGCCTAATTTCTTCTTTACGCCAGGATTCCATCAATGCTTGAAATTCCTCGATCGTCAGACACATCTCTTGTGATCCAAAGGGAAACACATGTGTGATCGGGTTCCAGCATCGAACAGCAGTGTGGAGGAACAAAAAACAAAGCAAAGTACGGCTCAGAAAAAGAACGTTTAGGCCAAAACTGCGAAAGTTCACCTTTTCCGAACCATCCAAAGTGACTATCCAATGTCGAAACCTATTGTTGAGAAGAGTCTCCATCTTGAGAGCAAAATACCAAGGACTTGCTGTTCTGCCAGGAAAACAGCTTGGGAGCACCTTTTATAGACTTTGAGAAAGAGCAGTGCATGACAGCTAGACAGTACTGACCGACCTCATTTTTGGGCCCGGTCGTGCCTATTTGGACCCGGTCGGGGTCTAAATGTTGGCCTAGGTCAGTGCAGTTGTAGAAAAGGGCTGGCCTTTGCTTCGGTGTACTATGGCTGTATTTTGAGTCTTGTTTTATTTATACCAACTGTTTTTTATTATTTTCGAGTTGTTTTCATTTTGTTTTCGTATTTTTGAGTTGTATTTTATATTTTGACCAGTTATAAGTTATTATCCGATGCATGAATCAATTCAAGAACAAGAAATCATTGTTGTTAACAGTCTTGTATAAGAATATCATGCAAGCACCATTCAATCATCACATATCACGCGAGAAGATCACTGTAAAAATCTGTCTTTTTCTAAACTGGTGGGTTCAACCCCAATCATTATTTACAAAGACCAAAGACAAAAGAAAAGTCTTCAAAAACAAAATATATAGGTCTATCTGAAGCTATATAGTTCCTAACTACAAAGCAAAAGAAAAAAAAATTAGTAACCCATCTTCGCTCTCTTCCTCCTTGGCTGCAAAGAAGGTGCGTCACTATCATTACTGGGACTGCTAGACCATATGTCAACCGCTTCCTCCTCCTCCTCGGAGGTCGTTTACTCCTTAAAAGACTCCTCGGGGGGTGAGCGTTGTCTCACTTTACCTCTCTCCTGGTCAGCTCCTCCCCTGTCCCTCATTGGGCTCCGTCTCCATCTCCTAGCTGGAGGAGGTCCTGCAGGTGCAACTGGTGCTAGCTCAAGCTAAAAGGAAAAAAGAAAAAGAGAAAGTGCAAAGATCAACAAAGTTGTGAGCAAGATTGTAATAATTATAAACTAGGGGCAAAGTGTACCTCGATCCCATGGGTAGCTAGAGCGGTCTGTCAACCGTTCAGAGGAGGTCATCCACATATCTCGCGGGCACCTGCAAAGGATTTGAGAATATGAGACAAGATAATGGTATACAGTGGGTAGAAAGTTAGCATAGTGGACAGCAAGTAATAAAGCATAATGGGTAGAAAATAATGAAGCACAGCGGAACGTACAGTGAGCTGACATATGAAGATGTGTACATGCTCAACACCGGGAGCGATCACCAATCTACGATCCGTCTCCTCAACATGTTCAAGAGGGATCTGCTCGAACACCCTATTCGGCCGCATGTATACGACCTCAATTGGAATCGCAGGAAGTCCAGGAGCAGGAGCGGCAGCAGGAGCGCCTTTAGTAGCAGTAGCAGCAGCAACCTCAGGAACAACATGGACCACGTCCAAGGTAAGAGGCACCATCACCTGAGTATGTAAGAAGGCAGTGAAGTCGCCAGGCTCGTGGTACCGGTCACCATCCTCCCCTAACATAAGGAAGTTAACCTGGGGTCCATCGCGAAGATCATCAACTACCCTTATGCCGGGAGGAGGAGGATGGGGAATGTCAGAATCTGCTACACCTCATGTCTAGCGGGTAAACCTCTTCCCTAGGTAATAAGCTCGGCCAAAGGGACCCTCGAACAAAATCCTCATAGTAAAGGCATGCCATGCGGCAACATAGGTCGCCCTTGCTGTCTGTGGGATACCCGCCTAGGGATGCCAGTCAACCTGTTGAAGCAGATGTCAGATGTCAAAGATCTAAGCAGTATGAAAACACACTATAGAAGCAACAGTATGAGAATGACAGTGCAGTATGGAGACAGTACAGTATGAAAACAATGTAGTATGGAAGTAATACAGTATGGAAACAATGTAGTATGCACCCAGTATGTAAAAATTAAAGGTTAATATTTTGTTACTTGATCTGCAGTGATTGTGTCAAAGAAACGGCGAAAATAAAGGAAGTCTAGGTCTATGCGGCGGCGTCGCTCAAATCGAGAGTTATAGTACCTGGAGTGGGGTGCTTACAACTCAATCAGCCTCACTGGGATCGGAGCCAAAGAGGTGAAATACGTGTAAACACATAGCTGAAAGCAGAAAGACATGGATAAAGTAAATGAGCAGATGAACAAAAAATGAAATGCAAAGTTGAACAGAAAGTGAGTATGAGGTGTACATCTCAAACCTTTCAGTAGCCGCCAAGTGTATCCGCCTTTCGGCGAGATACGAAGCTCATATAGCAGTACAGGGTGGCTAAGCCAGTGCCACCCCAGTCATACTCTGCCACCTATGGTTGGTGCACCAGTGCTCCTAAGAGATATTACCCCATGGTATTTTCTCTATTCGCAAACAAGGTAGTATCGATGAGGTACATAAGGAAGTTACGGGTGTACTAGGCAACCTCATCTGGAGTAGCTGGTTGAAAGTCAGAGAAATGATAAAAGAACCAATTGTACCTCACTATCCCGTGGTTGGTGGTGTCTGGGATTGCCCCGAGGAGCTGGCACTATGCGGCTCTCCACTGTGTCATATTGGGATCAAATGGGATCGGGCTGGCAACCCCAACCCGCAAGCCAGTAAGCATTGAGAAGTCATATGGAGTCAAGGTCAGCTCCCCATTTAACGAGAAGTGGAACGAGTCAGTAGTATCCCACCATCTATCTACCAAGGCTCTGTAGAGCAGTGGCTTAGCCCTCATTTGTATGAGTCCCGAACAAAAAGGCCCGAAGCCTACAGCATCAACCCATGTGCGGACCTCCATGGGAAGCCTGTCATACCAGTGTTGAGGACTGGATGTCGACCTGTAACCGCCAATCCTCATGGCTATCACCTACAAATGGGGAATGTTATCAATGTGTGTATAGCACTGACGAGTAGTTTGCTTATGA